CAGGGGAACTGCCCCAGTGCTTCCCCCCAAGATCCTCAGGGTGACACCTCCAGGGTGACCCCCAGCCCTGTTACATGCGTGTGACACGTGTAGTGCGCACAAATGGCCACCTCAGTGCCAGGATGGACCTGGGAAAATGGTTTGGGTTGGAAAAGCCCTCAGAGCCCATTGAGTCCACCCAAGGCCACCCCTGAGCATGTCCCCAAGTGAGCCACAGGGCTGTAAAGTCTCCCCAGGGGTGGCACTCCAGCCCTGCCCTGGGCAGCTGTGCCAGGGCTGGAGAGCCCCTCCAGGAGGAGTTTTCCCCATATCCCTCCTCAACCTCCCCTGTCCACCTGCACCGATGGGCTACAGAGCCTTCCCCTGCTCTGCTCCTCCTGGGATCCAAGAGGAGGGGAGCATTCAGTCAGGGTTGGGACTGAGGGACTCCTTCCCTGCAGCAAACACACCTGGAGCTGGAGGGCATTCAGAAGAACCTGGCCAAGGTCAGCGAGAAGACGGAGCAGGTGCTGGCGCAGCCGGAGCAGGCGGGCTCGGCCCCTGTGCTGCGCTCCGAGCTGGAGGTCACCCTGCGCAAGATGGAGCAGGTCTACAGCCTGTCCAGCATCTACCTGGAGAAGTGAGTCAGCCCTGGCACCTGGAAACGAGCCTGGGCACCTGGGAGGCCATGGGGAGTCTGGGGAGAGCCAGCGTGCTTTTCCCTTTCTTTTCCTTCCCTCTCCTTTTCTTCCTTTTGTTTCTCTTTTGCCTTTTTTCTCTTTTCCTTTTTTTCCCTTTTCCCCCTTTTTCCTTTTTTTTCTTTTTTCCCTTTTTTTCCTTTTTCCTTTTTTTTTCTTTTTTCCCTTTTCCCCTATTTTTCCCTTTGCTGCTTTTCTCCCTTTCCCCCTTTTTTCCTGTTCTCTTTTATTTCCTTTTTCCCTTTTCTTCCAGATTCTCCTTTTCCCCTTTTTCCCTTTTTTCCTTTTCCCCTTTCTTCCTTTTCCTTTTTCTTTCCTTTTCCTCTTTTTTTTCCCTCCTTTTCCCTGTTTTTCTTTTTTTCCCCCTTTTTCCTTTTCCCCTTTTTTTTCCTTTTTCCTTTTTTCCCTTTCCCTTTTCCCCTTTTTCCCCTTTTTCCCCTTTTTCCCTTTTCCCCCTTTTTTCCATTTTTCCCCTTTTTCTCCTTTTATTCCTTTCCTCCTTTTTCCCCTTTCCCCCATGTTTTCATTTTCCCCTTTTCCCCCCTTTCCCCCCTTTTGCCCCCTTTTCCCCCTTTTCTCCTTTTATGGTTTCCCCTTTTTTTCTTTTTCTCTTCTTTTTCCTTTTCCCCACTTCCCCTTTTTCCCTTTTTCCCCCTTTCTCACTTTTTCCCTTTTCCCTTTTTCCCCCTTTTTTTTCCTTTCCCCCTTTTTTTCCTTTTCCCCTTTTTCTTCTTCTCCCCTTTTTTCCTTTTCCCCACTTCCCCCTTTTCCCTTTTTCCCCCTTTCTCACTTTTTTCCCTTTTTCCTTTTTCCCCCTTTTTTCCTTTTCCCCTTTTTCTTCTTTCCCCCTTTTTTCCTTTTCCCCACTTCCCTTTTTTCCCTTTTTCCCCCTTTTTTTCCTTTTCCCCTTTTTCTTCTTTCCCCCTTTTTTCCTTTTCCCC